AAAATAAAAAAAAGTAAAATTGATTTGTATACAAACATATTTGAAGATTTGTTTCGAATAAATGATGATAAATATGTTATATTATATTGAGATTTTTTTGATGATTTATTATTATATTTATTAAATAATATTGGAAGATTTTTCTTATTAGAAAATTTTTGAATAACATTATTATTTTGTTTAATTATAGTTGATGTTGAAGGTTGTCGAGGATAAATATTATGTTTAGATAATATTGATAATGTTTGATCATCTTCAGTATCTTTACTTGTTCCTAATGGAGATGAAACAATATATTCTTCTTTTAATTTAATAGATTGATTAGTTTTGGTAAGACGAGTCATTTTTCGAGTTCGTTTCCATATATTTATCATAATTAACATATTAAGTAAACATAATAATATAAATGGCCAAATAAAATAATTAAATTGTGCTATTAACATATAAACAAATGAATTATGATAATCACCTGAACAATCAATATTTGTTTCATTTTTTTCCACTTTTTCTTTATTAAATAAAGATAATAACCATATACCAGGAGCAAAATTTACTATCATTTATATTTATATATACTAATTTATTTTTATTAAATAAATAACTTACTAAAAGAAAGACACCAAACAACACCCATAACTATATAAACAAGATTTTGTCGTACATATTTTCGATAAGATATGGGATAAGCAATTGACCAATAACGATTAATACTGATAGCTACTATATTAATAACACTTGCCATCGTTACAACATCATCAATAGTTACCTATTAAGATATTATATTCAGATTTATTTATTAATTTATTCATTTCATATTATTTTAAATTACCCAAATTTTACAAAAAAGACGTCCAAATGGCCATGATTGTTTAATACTAAAGAATAATTTAATAAGATAAATAAATTTAGACAAAAAACAACAACAACAAGTCAAACTAACCTAAATGGAATATAAAATGGAATGCAGAAAAAACCAACAAGAAAATCAGCAATAGCCATATTTAATATAAAATAATCTTTTTTTTAAAAAACTTATAAATAATAAATCGAAATATAAAATCAAAATGAAATTACCATTTATTGTACGTAATTTCTTCTCACAATAAAAGGCCAAAAGTACTACTATATTTCCAAGAGCTGTTATTAAAGCAATAAGACTTAAACAAATACCAATAAATATAGAAACAATTATTGATGATGATTTTGATGGATTTTCTATTGTCATTTTCATAGTTACATTCATATTGACTATTTGTGAAAGATACATTATTATTATATCATTTTATATTACCACTTGGAATATAAAAAAACAAAACAAATATATTCTTTATAAATAATTCTAAATCAATATTTATTCTTCTTAAATATGTTCTTAGTTTTTAATAAAGATAGATTTATATTCAAGTCTTCTATAGTTTAATATCTTTATTATTTTTTGTTTTCTATTGAAAAACTTGAATTATTCTTCAATTAAATTAATAAATTTCATTACTTTTATATGGAATATATATATAGTGTCAATTGAAACTCTTGCTAATATTCATGTTAAATAGTCTATTTTATTGTTTAATTAATTAATTCGATATTGAATGATAATAATGAAAAATCTATTCTCATTTATTTATCAAATAAATCAAAAGATTTTTCTCCAAGTCATTTATTCATAAAATAGATTATGTTTAATAATAAAATAAAAATTTTCCAATATTCAATTTCTTATTTAACTTTTATATTTAATAACTCGAATAGGAAACAAAAAAAGCTTAATCATTAACGAAAATCTATAATTTTTAAATAGTTTCGATTTAATTTCAAGTTAAATTAATTTATTTCTCTAAATGCTATATAAATAAATTGATTGAAATAATAATAAATAATATTTAGTAAATAATAATAATCAATTGATAAATGTCAATATTATCAATTATTATTATAGATTATGTCTAAATAAAGATATTTTATTTGTATTTTTTGATCATCGATACAACTAAACTGTAATAAAAAAAGAAAAAAAACGTTCAATCTAGTTAATAATGATCATCTCATCAATTATTTTCAAGTTAACTGATCAAATCTTACTTGATGATAAATTTCGACAATCGACTATATATTTGAATTGATGTTAATAATCACAAAATCGAATATAGAATTGAATTGATTACTTGATCAAATAAAGGTCAATATGATCTAGTTAAAGTAAACAACATCCGATTGTCAAATGATGAATCTATTCAAATGAAAGATGTCCTGTTTTTTTTTTCTTCTTTCGAGTTAAACTCGTTGTCAAAATCATTTAATAGAGAACGTCGTCGATGATTTGATTAACCTAACTTGTTAACTTTGACAGTATCCACCCCCCCCATTAGCAAATCTAACTAATGTCATGAAAATTTTTCTCAGAAAAACAAAGCATCTTTGCTCCTAGCTTCTTGTGCTCGAAATTTGCTCGACTAGAAAAATAAGACGAAGCCTACGGTGGTTTATGCACTTTATTTTCTTCCTATAGAACCGAACTCGATCTCTTTCATATATATATATATCTTTCTTCTTTCATCTATAGACTATTGATCAACTAATTAACTTGTTCTATTCATTATTTTATGTTATTCGATGGTAAAATATTTCAGCTAACGCCTTAGTTAATATAGAACATAAATCTTACTTTATCAAGAAAATATCAAATCTAGAATAAGAAGAAAAAAAAAATCTTTCGCTTGTTTCTTATTTTTCTTCTCCATAATAATATGTCATTCATCTCGCGAGCAAAAAAAATCATATCTTAATAACATCGACATTTTTCTTTCATAGAATTATTTGTTTATATTATTACATATGAACAGATAGGACCTTTTCAAATATTTTACCATATTGACCTTTATATTAAAATTTAATATAAAAATATTTCAATTAACTCCATTATGTTGATTAAATATCAGTTTTTTTCTCTTTTATCAACTATTTATTTATTTGTTTTTGTTTTTAGAAAATTTAATTTGATTTAACTGGATAAAAAGATGATTTTATTTTTTTAAAAATGAATCGAACAAGATAAAATAAAATGTTTTTTTGAATATTTTTCTAAACAATGAAAACAAGGTCAATATTGATATATTAACATATTGTTATATTAACATATTGATTAAGAAGAAGAGTTCGAAGAACAGCTATATTCTTTTTGTTTTTGTTTTATGTGCGACCAAATATAATATGTTCTATTTATCAATATATTTATTCGAATAAATCATAGAAATTAGAAGCAATATTTTCTAGTTTCAAGTAAGTTCGATTTTACAACTAATACTCTCTTAAATAATACGTTAAATAATGGTCAACAAAAGATTTCATTAGAAAAAAACAATCTAGAAATCGGTCGTCTCTTCAAGACTTTTGGTTTTTTTTGATTAACTCCATTAAATCGATTGATTTATACATAAATATAGATTTTCAATTATGTTTATTTATAATCAGTTGAATCTTTTCATAAAATCTTCATAAATATATCAATGATAAGATTTCTATTTACTTAGAGCACACCAAAAGTAGTGGCGCCGACCTGATTATACTTTAAAGAAGACTTGAGAAAATTCGTTTTTTCTATATATTCTGATAACCCAAGTCGTGCTCTATAATTCTACAACATTTTATAAATCTCCAAGTGATATTATAATATTGAAAACATAGCAAAAGTAGTGAATGGTTCACAAAAAGATTTTTTTTGAATCAAGTTTATCAAGTTTTTATTACATCAAATGTTCAAAATAATCACTGGGTTAATTACACATAATTGCATTCGTTGAATCCATTTATCAAAGGTTTTTTTTATAACTCTTCTTTTTTTCAACGACTTCATAAATTTGATCACAGCTTCATACAACAATTCAGAATCATCTTGATCGTCAAGATTTCGTTTGATTAAATCAAACAACCAAAAGTCACATGGAGCCACATTTGGAGAATTAGGTGGATATGGCATTATTGTTACACTTTCCGATCCAAGATAATTGACTATATTTTCATGAACATGTGGTTTTTTCATTATCATAATGAAGTTTAATTGCTCGAGTACATAAAGAAGGCCATTGGTTCTTAATTTCATCAATAACAGGTTTCAAACAACTATTGATGTACCCAGGTCGAACTCACCCTGTCGGATCCGACACTATCCGACAGGCGGAATCCGATCGGATCCAACTGTCGGAAACCATCAACATCCGTTAATTTCCGCTGTTGGATTCTGTCGAATTCTGACAATAGGATTCGATGAAATCTGACAATGGTAATTTGTCGGATCCGATGCCACGAAAATATCTATAGATACTTTATTTCATTTATTATATTTTTATTTTATTTTATTTTATTTAATTCTATTTTGTTTTAGATTATATTACGGCATGAAGCCTATCAACAGTGAATGAAAATTATTTATTTTGCTTTATTTATTTACTTAAGTTTTATTTTTATTTTATTATATTTTATTTTATTGTAACTTATTTTATTTAATAAAAAGTTAAAATAGAGTAGATTTAAGCTGCTAATTTGCAGCTAATTGTAGATGAGGAAGAAAGCGAAGGGGGAGGCAAACAATATCTAATGTTTAGATATAAATTCAACAGGCTTCCAGCGGATTCCGAATGTATCCGACATTTTCCAACTATCGGATCCGACATCCGACAACTTTCTATCGGAATCCTATACCAAGGATTCAGACGATTTCCGGCAGGATCTTATCGGAATTTGTCGGATCCCTGTCGAAAAGCATGGGATTGTTTGGGGTTTCCTATTGGATCCGAGTCTGGGATTCTTCGACCTGGGTAATATTGATGGTCGAGTGTTTGTCTACGTGCAACAGAATGAATAAAAACTGGATCAGTTGACTGAAAGAAAATAGACAAAAGAGTTCTTGGAGAAAAATGACTACGTCGAACCACCTTTGGAACAGGATCCCCACTTACTATTAATGCAGCATTCGATGATTTTCGACCAATTTGCTTGTGATAAAACTATGATTCATGAATTGTCATCACATTACACAATCGCCAAACACCTTGTTCAAATTTTAACAAGTTTTCTTGGTATATTCGTACTCGTTCAGCCTCTTGAGAGTTTGTCAGATGTTTGGAAACATATTGTGCAGTAAGTTTTTTCAACTGAAGATGATCAGAAACAATTCGTTGAACGGTGCCACGCCTGAGACCACTTTGTGCTTCGAGTTCATCAATGATAACATAAGGATCATCATTAATAAGATGGTGAACTTGTTCAATATTTTCAGATGTTGACTCCATTTAGCTCTGTCAGATTTTCTACATCTTCAACTTCTTCTTGACCTTCACGAAACCATTTTGACCATCTCTGAACAGTTCTGAGAGGGGGAGTCTCATCACCAAAGACAGTATATAATTCGTTATGAAGAACTATTGGTTGAATATGAAGTGTAGTACGCACTTTAATATAGAAACGAAAATGTTCTTGATCCATTTGAAGAGAACTAAACGGTTTTGGTCGTCTTACGTTCTACGTTGAAAACACTGTGCTATATTGTTGTGGACATGTTATTTCTGTTCTTCTCGGTTTTTTCTTTTAATCTTCTCTCCTTTTTATCTTTGTTTGCTTTGTCTCTTTAACTTCTCTGATATCTAGCGGCGTTTATACATATAAAACAAACGTTCTCTGTTTGTTTTTTTGCGTATGTGTAGTTAGTTCTTGTTTATTCTCGAATTAGAGCAAACTTTAGAGCATCAAAATTTTCGCTAATATGGTATCACTTGAAGATTTATAAAATATTGTAGAATTATGGAGCACGACTTCGGCTATCAGAATATATAGAAAAAAAAGAATTTTCTCAAGCCTTCTGTAAAATATTATAGGGTTGGCGCCACTCATTTTGATATGCCCTAAGTAACATATCTCTCGGAACGATATATATCTTCAATAAAACATTTGTTTTATTTATTTAACTATATATGAAATTTCACTTCTTTTTGTTCATATTCATAATCAGGCTTGCCAAACCTCCTAATTTGACCAGGAGACTCCTGATAGAAAATTTCGTGATTTCAGGAGCTGATCTTCAACATTTTCTCCTGATTTTTAGTTCTTTTTCTACTTGGTTGTTAGCGATACTGTGAACCAATAAGAGAGTTAAAAGGAAAAAAGAGAACTATTGCAGTATTTACTAGTTACAGTAACGAATAAGAAAATGCTTGCTTTTATTTCATTTTTCTCTAAAAAAGAATCATCAATTACATGACGTAATTGTATACAAAGTCCCTGTTTTACTGGAGATAGCAGAAAAGTACATGTTATTGCCTGGAAAACTAGATCTTGAAACTCAGACAAGAGACCAACAGACAAAATTTTAAATGACCAGGCAAGATGTCTCTCATCTGGAAAGAATTTTGCATTTCTTGGAAATCACGTCGGATCCTTTTTAGCTCAGAATAGGAGAATATCTTGAATAACCTAGCAAGATTCCTGTGTTTCATTTTCATTATTAGTATGGAGTTGCTATAGGCTCATTTGCACTGCTATTTTGTTGTCAAAGTTTGATAGGAATTACAAACATGAAAAGAATGAATAGATCTATAATACAAGAAAATAAATTGAAGGCATCAATAAAAAAGAAGCAGAAATACCCAAGCAGACAAACTTTTGAGAAAACGCGCTTAAACGCGTTTTCTCAAAAGTTTGTCTGCCTGGGTATTCAAATGAATACTTTGAATCAGAGATGGACGGAGCAGCCAAAAAGTCGCACCGCCACCGCCTCGTCAATAAGGTTTCGCACCGCCACCATCCCGCCTATCCAACAATGAAACCGTCACCGCCTCACCCCGTCCCGTCTAAAATCTGTTTTCAGAGGTCATTTATTCATAAAATTTTCAATAGCTTTTCATAATTACTATTATATTTCCTGAGATGAAAAGGCATAATTTCAATACAGGGTGGCCTATGAATAATAACATGACGATAAAAAATTTAAATATCTCTACTTCTATTCATTCAGATGGGCTCATTTTTTTGGTTGGTAGTAGAACTCTACTCAAAATTTTTTTCACTCGGATAATGTAAGTAAGTCCCACTGTTAAGTATTTCAGTTGACGTCAAGAAAGCAACTTTACTAGTTGTCAAGTAAGGAAAGCACATGAAATATTGTGTAGATGATTTTCAGCTGTCATTTGACAGAATTACTTGAAAAAATTCAATCAAATCTTGTAAATGATACCACATTGATGTACATATAGAAAATTTTTTGAACTAGCTACTTCGAATGCTGGAACTCGTGTCTGATAACTAAAACCCGTATCTGAGAGCCTTTGGTTACCCAGTCGGCAAGTTTTCAGCAAAAATCGGTGTTCCACGCCTGAAAATTCGAAATATTGTAATTCCTAACTTTCAAATTGACTGGTTGAGAAATTTATCTCGATGTACATCCGTATAGTATCATTCAGGAGATTTATTTGAATTTTTTCAAGTAATTCTGTCAAATGACAACTGAAAGTCATCTACACAATATTTCATGTGTGTTTCTTACTCGACAACTAGTAACGTTGCTTTCTTGGCTCTTAACTGAAATGCTTAATAGTAGGATTTACTTACATTATCTGAATGGAAAAGAATTTGAGTAGAGTTCTACTACCAACCAAAAAATGAGCCCATTTGAATGAACAGAAGTAGAGATATTTAAATTTCTTATCGTCATGTTATTGTTTATAGACCATCCTGTATATAAAGATAAAATTTTGAAATAGAAAAACAAACATTTAAGAAAAAAATGTTAAAAAACCTTAATATTGTCAAGAGGTGGGCAAACCACGAGATCTTGCAGCGCACCGTCACTGCCCCGCCCCGTCAAGTTTCTGCATCGCCCCGCCGGCGGGGCGGTGTGCCACCGCGATCCGTCCATCTCTGCTTTGGATAGTTAATATGATCTAGACAATTCTTCGAATGATATTATTATTCAATTCATTAAATATATCAAAACATATATAATCAAGCTTAAATATTGGTCTATATGATATCTCGATTAAAAACAAACGAACAGTTTCGTCGTTATTATTATCCAAGAAATGCCTACATTGATATTCAACAGTCATTATCGAAATATTATTGAAAGTAAACGTCAAATAGGTACTGATTTAGTCAATATTTACTATATATTTCATCATATTATCTACAATTGATCATGTTTTTTGTTTTTTCTAACCTCCTCAGGTAAAATTGTGTCTATGGACAATTAAATGTTTATTGATGAGAACTTAATTTTTCTTTATGTCTCAAGTAAGTAAATATAATATATTTGTATTTGCTTAATGTACCTTAATTTTCTTTTCTATTTTATTCTATAGAGTTAATCAACAAATATAATCGTATATATGTAAATATTTGATCAACTCTATCTGCGCAATCATATTCAACAAGTATTTTCAGCATAGTTACTTCCTTTCATAACCTATACATATATGTATATATAAAAGAATGTAAAAAACCATATTTGACTGTTCGATCTTCCTAAAATCTCTTAAATAATCGTAAGAGAATATATTCAACCATCCTCATGTAAGTGATTATTTTTTTATTGATCGTTATTCAGACTAATAACAGTTCATCTTAATATGTTTTAACGCGATAATATCTAAGCTTTTTACAATGAATATACGAAAAAAATAAAACAATTTTCATTTTTATACAAAGTGAATTTATGGCTATTATCGTCTTCAGATGCGCTTTTTCTATAAAAACAAATATTTTTATTTTTTGAAAACTCAAAAAAGTCTTACATTTAAACGCACAAAAACTGTATACTAAATAAAAAATTGTTAGCTTTCGAAAAAACCTTAAAAGTCTTTGCAACCGATTGCACAAAGGTTAATCATTCTACAATGAGCTATACATCTATTTTAACTTATTCTTAAAACTGAAAAAAGACTCAAATTTATCATAGACATTTATATATTGAATAGAACTACTATACGAACCTTTTTAGAGAGTATTTGCTACTTCATAAACAAGATGCGTCTTTTGGTTGTTTTTATGGCGATTCTATTATCAATCATTGCCTTATCAACAAGTGAGTTACACTTATGTTAAACGTTTTAAAGATTTATTGTATGTTTTAATTCTTATTGTGATAGTGGCTCAGCCAACTGGAACATTTCCATGTCCAAATGGTACTCCCGATCAATGTGTTGAAATGTGCAAACAACAAAAATGCAATAAAGGTTATTGTAACAATTATAGAATCTGTGTTTGTTCAAATTGTAATTCGGGATGAATAAAACCACCAGGAAGCACATAAATGAATCGTCTTCAATCAACAACTAGATACAACAAATTCTCCCTTTTTTTTTCATATCTTACTCATTTTATCCTAATATTCTTTTTAAAAAAATTCCTTCAACAAACATTATTCATATTATTGAATAAAGATTAAACGAATCCTATACTATCACTATATAATAAACATGTCAACATGATAAATAGATCCAATCTCTCTATACAACCTTACAGAAAGAGAATATATTTGTTGTTTTTTCGTTTCATTAGTAATTCGATGTTGAAGAAGATAATTGAAAAACAAAAAACATATTTAACTATATATTTAATATATTCAAATCAGACATATACACTGGCAAACTACTTGTTAATATTCTTCAACCAAATATCGATCAAACTGAATACTGTTTGTTGATTTCGGCAATATTATTTTCTGAAAGAAGACTATTTAACATAAATAATCTCTTAATCACACTCTACAAGTTTGCAAGACAACAGATGAAACTCGAATATATTAACCGACCGATAACCACAAACAGATCTACATAAGCATATTCTAACCAGTGATCAATACATTCTCATATTGACTTGATTCGGATTGTTTGATTTGATCAATTAATGAAAAACAACAAAGATATATTAAGAATAAAACATCGAAATCATATTATGCATAAATAAAATATGATGAATTTAAAAATAAGTTTTCGAGGAAAAATGATTTTTAGTTGCTCTTAAATAAACATAAATTGAATGTATCTTTTATCATTATGTTCTTCTTATTCTATAGATTCCATCATTGAAGTTTTTCACAAGTAAACATTGTTATTTTACCATTGTTTATACTCTAATAAAACAATAATTTAACTGTTTATAAATAAATTCTGGTTAAACATTAGTTTGAATTTGGCTATTTAGTTTTTTGTTAAATATGCATTATATTTTATCTTCTGTCATATTCAACTGCATTAAAGACAATTATTCATTTGACTATTTTTATTTTTTTAACAAATCT